GTCCCGCTGAGATAACATTGCTCCCCTGTTATTACTTACATTGATATGTTGTGTGTCCCGCTGATATAACATTGCTCCCCTGTTATTACTTACATTGATATGGTGTGTGTCCTGCTGACATAACATTGCTCCCCTGTTATTACTTACATTGATATGGTGTTAGTCCTGCCGATATAACATTGCTCTCCAATTATTAGAAAACCTCTCTTCTGTGCCATTGGTGCTACTTTTCTGCACCTAGGTCTGGTTATGTTTTTCACACACTATTGATCCTGGTGTGAAAACACTAGTTGTGCTGTCTTTTTCTGCTGCCTGGGATATTGATTACCTGTCAGGCAGGTAATCACTTCACGGATTAGGTCCCTGAGGGGGGCAGAGCACTGGAGAGGCTCCAGTTTCTAATTAAGTGCAGACAAAGTCGTCCACACAAAGCTGCTGCCCTTGTTCATATTTTATCTTGTATTGGATTTTGCGTGCAGTTAAAGGGAGGTTTGTATGGGGAAATGGTCTGTCTGGTTTTTTGGCTGCTTTAAAATTTCACTCCTAGACCAGACACAGTGTCTTCACAATACTTTGTGAACAGATCCCATAGTATAGTTTTGAACTGCTGAATTTTCGGTGATGATTTTTTCCATATATAAGAAAATACGAAAAAACTTAGTCAGCTGGAGTTTCACTAAAGAAGTGTTAATACCTATATTTCTAGTGGTCAAACACCAGCTGAGGCAGACTTCAATCTGCTGGACACAGCCAGGAAAGTGGAGCTGTATGGACTACGCATGCACCCAGCCAAGGTAAAGTTACATCTGACATCTTGTCAATACAGCGTTTTATATCATTACAGTACTACCATTTTGTATTCATTTAGCAGACAATAGTTAGTTGACTGTTTTGCCTAGACAGTTTTAGTAAAAAGATCTGTACCACCCCCCTCCAATCCCCCAAGACTAATGACAGTGTTTGCTGTTTCCAGGACAACGAAGGTGTTCCCCTGAACTTGGCAGTGGCCCACCTGGGCATCATGGTGTTCCAGAACTCCACCAAGATTAATACCTTCTCCTGGGCCAAGATACGCAAACTAAGCTTTAAGAGACGGAAGTTTCTGATCAAACTCCATCCTGAGGGATATGTGAGTAGTGATTGTTTGGAATACTGAACATAATTACATTAACATCTGACACACTCACCACTGTCACACCTGTGATATTGACATTGTGTAACATTGACATTGTCATAGTACAGGAACACCCGGATGTCTAATAAATATATTGCCATATTTCCTGTTTCTCCAGGGCTATCACAAGGACACAGTAGAGTTCTGTTTTGACTCCAGAGATGAATGTAAGAATTTCTGGAAAAAGAGTATCGAGCACCATGCTTTCTTCCGCTGCCAGTCAGTGAGGACCATACCGAGACATAAGACACGGGTCATTAGTAGAGGTTCTTCATTTAGGTATGGTATACAGCATTTCATTGATCAAGCTGCAAACTTCAATTTGAATAAAAGTATCAGGAATTGCTTTGTAATAAGATAATCACTGTGGTCCTCAGTGAACACTTCAATGGTCACTTGTTTGAAAGAACAGAATTTGTGAACTATTTGCCATTAAGGAGTTTTTCGTTTTGTATCATATCTTATAAATGGAAAATGTTCTCTTGCAAAATGCTCATAGTCTCGTGTGCAAGTAGGGATTTATGTCAGTGACCATTAGAAACAGCAAGACGGCATTAAGCCAAAATTAGGAACAAACTGAACAAAATATCACGTGGGCCCATAATTGAAAAAATCAAGGTTATTAATCGTAAACCAAGATAACAATACCAGAATGTCTCGAAAGCCCTTCATGTTAAATGACTTATTCTTAAGGGATATATGTTTATTCAATCTACAGGTACAGTGGTAAAACCCAGAAACAGCTCCTGGACTATGTCCGCGAGAACTACATAAAACGAGAGCCATTTGAGAGGTAAATAACATCACTGCCTGTGGTTGCTTATTGCTATATACAGCACACACCTTGAATGATCAACTCTGGGGTGGTGCTAGCAATTTTTTTCACTCAGTCAAATCACTACTTTTTCATTACTTTTTGGCAAAATGGTTTAAATTTGACTGAAACAAGTCAATTTAATCAACCCTATTTTGTTTAGCCAGTTGAAGTCAGTTTTAGAATTTGGCTAAATTGACAAGTGTTAGTGCTATCCCAGCATGTTGTCATGGTAATGGTACAGAAGTAACAATAACTCATAATGTGATCTCAACAAACTGTTTGCTTCAAAACCATCATAATGATACATACATACAGTAGTACATTCACACTAACATTAACCATGCATTAAGTTTATGTTGTGGCTTCTGTCGGCATCTTATTGGTGTATTAATTATTTTTCTGCCGCTAATTGTTGTGCAGAAAGTAAGTATACTTGATGGAGTTTCTACTTTGATTTGTTTTGAGGAGGATTTGATGTGCAGTTTCACTTGATGTTGGGAAATTAACGGACTTCATCTTAGCTTTAATATCTCTTTATTAATTATATATCTCTGTGACACGTACAAGTATGTCTTTCTCAATTGCTTCATGGAAATTGAAACTTTTATCTTAATATGATGTGTATAATATGCAGAGTTGCCAAAACAGAAGCTTGTTCATCAGTTGTGTACCATATAAGTATTCAAATTAATGTTGTGAAGTGCCTGAAAATGAAGGAAATAGACTTGGCAGCCCTGTGGATAATTTGTGTTTATATGTGATACCATAGAATTGTGGGTTTGTGTGTAGCTTTGGGCTGTTTTAGTGGCCATTTTTTCTGAACACATTTTCAGCTTTTTTTCTGCCACTTGCCATCTGTGTGCACAATTAAAATAATCTAGAATTCCCTGTCATTAAAGAATTCCTGCAGCATTTAGAAGACTCTTAAATATTGTTATCACGAAGTGGCCATATGTTTGGGCATGATTTTCTGACTGCACCTATCATGGTAGATTTTGACTGAACATTTTCTACTTAAATCAAAAAAGCTGTAATATCTTTGTATTGCTATTTTTGTAGAAAAAAAACTTTATGGCAGGAATAAGTTCCCTTTTTGGATAGAGAAAGTCCCCTGTCTGGCTAGAATAACTTGCCTTTTTGAATAGAATGTGTTGTTATTCAGCTATTGTTGTAGTGTTACTCCGCAATTTGGCTAGAATAACATCCCTATTTGGCTAGAATAACTTCCCTTTTTTTTTTTGGCTAAAATGACTTACCTATTTAGCTAGAATAATATCCCTATTTGGCTAGAATAATATCCCCAGTAAGCCACTGCTCAGCTCAGTTAATTTTTCACCTTATATTCATGACATTGTAAATTCCATTTTATCCCTCAGAAGTTTTGTCAAAAAGGTTTTGTCAGTGGATTTCAATAGTTGTGTAGCTTACCAATTCTTACCCACAGCTGTGGTCATCTGTGCTTTCTTTGTTAACAGTTTTTTCTGCTGATTCAACACTATTTGTGCTTATCAGTAAGAGTGTTCATGGTTTCAAGAATTATTTACTGAGGGTTTAGTGATAGTAGTCACTAATTTTGGAACAACATAAGTAATGAATCTTTCACACCCAACAACCTGTGGACTTAAGCCTCATGATGCTCTTGTGACAGCGAAACGTAGCTGTTCACTACTGTTTTTGTTCCAAAGTTAGTCACTTCTATCACTTAAACCATAGTATATATTTCTACTTAGTCTATAACAAAACTTCATCATGGCATAATATATGTTATGAGGTGGTGAAATATATCCCCTCTTTCTGTGTTACAGAACAGTCAGTGTGCGGAGTACTCGCAGTGTTGGTGCCACGCCCACCACCAGTACCATGAACTCACGTGACCTGAACTACAGCCGTGGCGGTATGAGCTCTGCCGCGTCAGCTTCCAGTGGTTCGCATGTCCTAGACATATCAAACCACAACCTGAATGCGTCCACACGCGTGGAGACGGCAGAAGTGCACGATGACAGCTCACAATCAGGTAGCCATTCTTTACGTTCCCCAAGTAACGAGTTAAGTCCCGCCTCTGAGGGCGCGGTGCCCCCTGGCTCGGCGCCGCACCCAGACAGAACCGAGTGCAATGGAACGGTAGAACACACGGTAGAAACTAGTAGAACAGATCAGTTTAGACAGACAGAGCAAACAAATGGCTTAGCAGCCGATCAAAATGCAAATGACAATGATGTCATAATTCCTGGTTCGCCCCCTGCTAATACAGAACCCTCTGTAATAAAACAGCCTCAAACTGAAATAGAATTACACATTGATGAGAGTGAACTAAACACACAGGTAGAGAGTGGGGAGGGGGGCAGGGCCGTGCTGGGAGGGGGGGTTAGAAGTCGGTCAGTGTCCACCTCTTCTAGTGAGAGTGAGGATGAGGGTGAGCAGGAGATTAACTCTGAGATAGAGTATGTGTTACACCGCAGACATGTCAGTGAAGAGGGGGGAGAGGGGTATGATGAGGTCCTGGTGGCATCCCCAGGGTCTAATACCCAGGGAAACCACACCCCAGGGGGGACTGCACACAAGGAGAACCACTCCTCTAAGTCGACATTCAAACCAGACGAGAAAGAGTCCCAGTCGAAGGGAAAGCCCACACCTCTACACATTCCAATCCAGACAGACTCTCCTTCCCACTTTGAGCAGACCATTGCTATCCTGCGCCAGGATGCTTCCCCAGATAAGTCCCCCGTAGATAAGTCACCACGCAGGTCCCCAATAGAGGTGGTCCATATCAGCAAACTGCCACCTAAAAACAGCTACTCCAGTGCTGATGACTCCCTCAGTCCTTCCCTAGAGAAAGATATCTTGGAGCACCTGAAGCACAAAGGAGAAGAAGAGGACAAGGCCAGGAAAGAGTCCGAATCCTCAGATGTGTTTGACCCAGCAGAGCATGAGCGTAAACCAGTCACGTTCTCTTCCTTCAGGGCTCCAGATATTGTGCTGGTTCAGCCCAGCCCTGACCTGGAGGAGGCAGACCTAGTCACAAAGACAGTGGAGACAAGTGACACAGCGGGAGAAGCTGAGGCAGGGGACCAACGCTCCAGAACCTCCTCTTCCTCCTCCTCCTCATCAGACGAGACATCTCATCAGCCTAGCACATCATTCAGTACATTCAAACCACCCAGCATAGAGATCATTGCGGCCACCCCACAGCCCACGCCGACCAGAGAGGACATGCCACCTCTAGAGGAGGAGCGGCCACTTATAGACAGTGACCGCTCTGATGAAGACTTGGAGATTGTGGTTTCCAGGGAGACCACAGTAACTAAAGAAATAGGACAGAGCTCTGTCACCACGGTTACTAAGACAGTTACCATGGAGACAGGCTCAGTGCCCCCTGAAGGCAGTGACTTGATGACAATCATCTCAGAGGTCATGAAGCAGGAGGAGCAGGAGCTGTCTACACAGTTTAAACAGTCAGAATTGCCCCCACCTCCACCAGAGATGTTAGTGTCTGAACCAGCTGTAGAGGGCAGCACTGAACCCCCACCACCACCCCCTGAGCTGTATGTGACACAGTCAAGTCCACAAGCTTCCTTTGATGACAGCAGAGAGGATGTCACCACGGACACAAAGATGGAGGCAGCTCCAGGGAGGAAAGACTCCTTCTCCTCCTCCTCGTCCAGTGATAGCTCAGACCAGTCCCCTCACGAGGCGTCTCCAGAACCGCTGTTCATACGTGAAAGCAGTGCAGAGAAACACAGCAGTGTCACCACGGAGACCTCCTCTAGCTCAGATAGTGATAGCGAGGAGGAAGGAGAAAAGGTGGAAGAGAAGGAGTTGAGGTTTATGGAGAAGGTGGAGATTATAGAGAACCAGTATTTACTTGAGAGGGAGGAGGAAGAAGAGGAGGAGGAGGGCCATAGTCAGCTGAGGGATTACTACATGCAGCTAGGTCAACAACAGCAGCTGGTGATGCCGCCTCAGCCAGACTTAGAGGACCAGTGTGATGGAACGAAGGACCAGTATGAGAGTATAGAGGGCGAGGTATTCTATGACCACTCCAGTGACAGCGATGCTGCCCATGAGGAGAGTCCAGAACATGACCATCTTGACATCCTAGAGGGCCTCAGTCCCACTGACCCTATGACCAGCAGTGTGGAGCTTGACGCCATAGAAACGAGGGTCACCAAGGGTGATCAGAGGTCGAGGAATGAAGGCAGTGAGGAGAAGATGGTGTCGACTGAGCCACGAAGTCCTGGCACTGCACGCCACATCGTAGGTATACAGCTGTCACCGGAACACAAGGTGGTGGCACGCACGCATGTCGAAATGCACGACCAAGACATGTTCTTGCCTGAAGATGGCGCTGATGATCAGTATCATTCAACACAGGCCCAAGTATTCAGTAATCCCTATGCTGAGTCTTTCACCACATTCTACACTGGTGGCAGTGGCAGTAAGAGCAAAACTACACAGTGACAGGACAATACATACAGTGGAGACTATCTTCAGGAGGTTGCTGGATTTTGATAGAGTTTTTACGCTCATATTGAAATTGTTAAGCTTACCTACTATGATATGACGTAGTATGAATATAGACATATATATGAACAGAGTATGCTATCAGATTACTTGAATATACCACAATAAGTATATAGTTGAGCAACTCGACCACTTCATTCACCTGCTCACTAGCACCACTCAACTCAGATGGATTTTTATGCAGGCACGATAGAAAGAATAATATATGCAACAGGGACAGAGCTTCACTGGGTTTCATATTGCCTATATTAAGTTGGGCCATGGTGGAAGCAGAGGAAGTGATAGTTAAGGGCATGCTATTGGCTAATTAACTTAGAGGCTATGCTAAGAAAGAGATTAGACTTGTATTAGTTGGTATTTAATGTTACAATGACTCAGTCAGCTGCTGAGGCCGAGGCAATGATGACTTGCATAATTCTGAAACTGAGATTGTAGAAATAATGGCACTGCATTTTTTGCATTGTAGCAAAATTTTAGAAGCTTATTGCTCCCAGTTAAGGGGTTGGGTTAATATTGAACTATTTTATCATATAATTTTTTTTTTTTGTTTTTTTCAATTAATCAAATATGACTAGGTGCTAGCTAGGTATAGAGTGTGTGTGTGGTATATACAGGCATATATAGAGGTAGGTATAGAAGTAGGAATAGCAAGGGTGTATACATACCTGCACATGTAGGGGGAGAAGTAGGTTTAGGGAACAGAATTTGGACTGCTTTCTTGGCGTCTTGTTACATTCCATTTTTATGTACAGACACAGATGTGTCTGTACATATTGCCATCACCTGCGTCTGTCGTCGCCGTCGCCGTCCCTGTCGCCGTCGATGTCGCCGTCGCCGTCGCCGTGCACTTTCATCGTTAACACGATAAGTGGAAGACAGTTTTACTTTTTGGCTTTATATTTACAGAGCTGATGAATATTCATAAAACGCAGGTCAAGTTCGAAAATCAGCATGTTTGGGCAATTATTGTAGTATTTATGCTGTGTTTTCACTTTTTAGCATATATGCAACACTGTTAACACATTTCAAGGAAAACCGATAGGCCTGTTGTCATGAAACTCACAGGAGTAATTAATCTTACTAAAACGCAGATCAAGTTCGAAAATCGGCATGATCGGGCCA